CCCCAAAACCCCAAAACCCCAAAACCCCAAAACCCCTTTAGTAAAAAATTCATTGAATCTTGTTGATAGTGCTTGGACAACATATTTGAGAGAATCAGAGAAAATATGGCAGCTAATAAAATTCATATATCATCAAAGATACATGTTGTTATTCCAGCAAGCTTTTCTCTGTCTTATTGATCTTTTCAGAGTGAAAGATCTGGCAATCACATTTACGTAAGAGGTTCCTCCCATAAACCCACCAAAACATAACATAGTAGTTCTTCAGAAAAAATAGACCAGCATTTCAGAAAAAGAAGATAAAATTTAAGATCTGTATGAGTGTGACAATCTTTACCCGCTTAATCTTGATCAGAGATAGAGGGCTTCTCGAAGTGAGGAATCCAAATTAATAGCAAAAAGCACACATTACTAAAACTTTTCAAATAAAAACTATTTTTGTTCGTATAGGAGTTATTTTTGAAATTTATTACTAAAAAATTGACAAATTCAACAGCGACAGAGTACTTAAAGAAAGAAACAAGGAAGAGGTTGAGAATGTATCTGCTGATTTTTGATAAGATGAGTTTGAAGTTGAAAAAGCCTATCTGTAAATTTTGTGCAACGTCTTCTCCTATTTCATTATCTTCTAAATCTTCTTCTTCGTTGGGGGTGTTTCTATTATCAGCATTATTAGTAAGCTCATTGCTAGAGCTCAGAAATCTTATGATGGATTCAGTCTGAACTTGCGCCTGAGGGTTCTTCTCTACAAAAGGTAATGTTGGCATCTTCCTGAACGTTATCATAACATTCATGAAGCAAAGTAGAATAGCTAGAGCTACTGCTAGGAAGACGAAGTCATCTCTCATAAATGAGCAAAGTCACAGGAAAATGCCTGATCCTCATACATCAATCACACCAGTACCTGAGCTGAAAAATCCGATTTTATCGATTGGGGATCCTTTCCGAAATCCAAGATGGATTAACTCCTCAAAAGGTGAGGTGAATCAGTGAGGGAGTGCACAACATAGAGCTATATAGAAACTCGCGGTGATTGGATGAATCGTAATGGCAGCTATAATAACAGATATGTAATAATCATTACAGCTAAATTTCTTGTTAACCTGAAGGAGTAACGAATCCTGATCAAATACATTGAGCTAATAAATCCGACAAAACTTCAAAAACTATTCCTTATAGGTTAAATAAAGGGATTAATAGCTTATGGTTAAATAAATCTGCGAGGTTGTGGGAGTGCACTTTTGACTATGAAATATCCAAGATTGCTTACAAGCCTCAGCATCGAGAAGAGGTAGAAATATAACACATAATGATGCTGAGTATTTTAGTTGAGAGTTTCTTAGCCATTGAACTCCGAAGATTAGCAGCTCGGTTCATCAATTAGAGTTTTGGAATATTTTGCAGCCGAACTTTGCTAGATATATCTTTATTTTAATCCATTTCCTCCATTATTATCTGATTTATTATTTACAATATATTAGATCTGGATGGGGTTTTGGGGTTTTGGGGTTTTGGGG